ATTCCAGGACGTGGTGTGTCACGATCCACCGTCGGTTCTACCACCTGATAGGGGTGTACGTCATGAAATTGACTTGGTTCCCGGAACCAAATACTGCGTAACACGGCAGTGGCCTTTACCAAAAGAACAGTGTGACGTCATTGACGAGTTCTTTCGTGCAAAGCACGCGGCGGGCATGGTGCGCGAGAGTAAATCTCCGCACTCGACACCCACTTTCTGTGTTAAGAAACCGAATGGTAAATGGCGTATCGTTCATGCTTATAATAAGCTCAATGCAGCCACTATACGTGCACAGACGCCAATACCTAGAAAGGATGTTCTTCAGAACAATATGGTCGGTTGTACCATGTACAGTGCGCTCGACTTAGTCGATGGTTATTATCAATTGCTCATGCGAGCTAGTGATATTCCGCTTACTGCTGTTAGTACTCCGAGCGGTATGCTCTGGGAGTGGTTAGTGATGACCCAAGGGCTATCTAATGCTCCGGCTACGTTTAACCGTTTGGTGACGCACTTGTTTCGACCCCATCGAAGTTATGCACAGACGTACTTCGATGACATTTTTGTCCATAGTCGAGCTGAACATGGGCGGTCAGATATTGAGAACCATATTGTTCATTTACGAGCTGTGCTCGAGTTATATGCTAATGCATCTAAGTGCATCTTCGGGACCGAAGAGATTCCCTTTCTAGGGTGCTTCATTGGGAAACGGGGCCTACGAGCGGATCCCGCCAAGATCAAAGCCATAGTCGATGGGGCTGTTCCACAGTCTCAGAAGGACTTGCGTAAATGGCTTGGCCTTGCCAATTACTTACACAAGTACAGCGAGAATTACGCTGATATGGCTCGGCCGTTATCCAATCTCCTTAAAAGGATGTGGAATGGTGTTGGCACGCCGAACACGAGGATGCTATTCAAGCGGTGAAGGATAGCCTTTTTCATGATCCTATTTTGGCTTTGCCAGACCCTGATCGACCGTTTAGCGTCGTCTGTGACGCGTCGGATTTTGCCATTGGCAGTGCTCTGTTACAAACAGATGATGAAGGCTTGTTGAGCGCGTAATCGCTTTTGAATCTCGCCAGCTGAAAGCTGCAGAAAAGAACATTCAGTTCATGACAAAGACCCTGCGATAATGTTAATGCTCTTGTCAAATTCTGAGTTCATCTGCTGGGCTCAAAGCACTTTGTGATCGATCACCGATCAACGCGTCGTTACGCACAGAGGCTCAGTTCCCCCATTCTCGCAGAGAATGGCCAGATAACTGTCATTCTTTGCCGAATATAGTACAGGGGTAAAGTATGAGCCTGGCGAGAAAATGCTTTGGCTGATCACCGTTTGTCACGCAGACCTGAGTATGAGCTTGCTCATGTTACGAAGTTGTCGTCTTCGATCTTTGATCTAATTCGTACAGCTTACGTTGAAGACTATCATTGTGTAGGCTTTTGGCAGTGACGAGTTAAATAATCGGACGGTAAATTGTCGGCACGATTACGTGCGAGCCTTCATCGATATTCTATCGATGAAGGGCATTGTAATATCAATAAAGATGTTAGCGGATCCTCCGCAAATCGTGGTATTCTTCGCGGCGAGGATCTGAGGCATCATTATTCTCTAAGAAGTGCATGACACCGCCATCGGGGGTCATTTAGGTCGTGAAAAGACCTATGGGGCAGTATCTCCAAAGTTATTTATGAGCTAAATTATATAAATAGGTGTTTCTATATGTGCGTACGTGTAAAACGTGTCAACAGGTGAAACCCTCGCCCCATTCAACAGCGCCGCTATTTAGTTTGCCTATTCCACTGGGTGCTGGGAGTCCATTAGTATGGACTTTGTATTTGGCCTACAGAAAGATTCGCACTTGAACAATAATTATTGTGGTCTATATTGACCGCCGATGAGGAAAATCAATAACTTAGCGGCTGTCGCAGATTCGATCGATGGTGTTGGTACAGCGGAGCTGTTGCTCGATAGCGTGTTTCGCCAACATGGCTTGCCAGTGGCAATTGTTTCTGATCGTGATCCTCGTTTCCCTGGTAAATTTTGGAGATCCGTCTTTTACGTGCTGGGGACCCGTTTGGACATGTCCACCTTGAATCATCCACAGACTGATGGTCAAGCCGAACGCGTAGATCGCGTTGTTGAAGATATCCTACGCAGCGTTTTTAATGGCAATGCCTAAGCGATGGAGCGCTATGCTCCATGTAGTTGAGGTTGCACTCGATAATTTCGTGCACGCCTCTACCGGCTACACTCCATTCTATGTCAATGGTCTCCACACCTACGCGTTCCGTTAACGCTACCGCAAAGTGGTTCGGACTTGGTGGGAGAAGGTTGCCGATCGGCTTGCTGATGTCAGCCCTATTACTGTTAAGAAACAGGCAAATGCGTTTCTCGCAACGCCACTAATGTCTTACGACATGTGCAAGATGCAATGGCTGATAGTCAAGATAAACAAAAGGAATATGCAAATGCGAAAGGCAGAGGTTGTGAAACCAATGATTATGAGGTCGGAGATCAAGTATTATTGAATGCTCAAAATCTACCTACCAATGTCATGACAGTATCCGCTGTCTTTAAGACGAAAAAGGATCCGCGCTTATCGGACCCTTTACGGTCATTGCCAAGAAAGGCACACGCTGTGCCAAGCCAATTGCCGCCCCGGTTGCGTGACATCCTGTGTTCTACGTCAGCATCGCAGAAGCCGCATTGAGAGCCGTCTAAATAGACACCATGAAGCAAGCGCATAGGCCATTGGCATTGTCGCGGGACGAAGCATCTGCGCCAACATGTCAAGCTGACCCCACCAGATTCAGCTCTTCCGGGGACTCGAGGCGATAATTAATCGAATGCACAGTCTCAAGGAGAGACTGCGCAAAAAAGGTAGCTCGGCATGAGCTTGTGTCCGGTATACCGTCCCCCTCCGGCTTTGCTTGATGGACAGAACCTTCAGTTCCATGTTGAATGCTGTTGCAGAAACGTCGCCGCCCGTGGTCAAAGGCAGTATCTGGTGAAGTGGCGGGAGTTATCCCGAGTCGTGGAATTCGCAGGGGCTTGGGAACACCCTTCGGCAGGACTGCCCGCGCCGTGGACGTTTTTGGGCGTCGTCAGCACCGTTTGCCTGTTGGCGCTTGGCACTTCCTCTTTGGCAATGGTGAGGGTAGGCGGGTTAGCGACCTTGGCCTGTCGTGGACTCGCGGCTACGGAGGTAGCCGAAACATTGGGCTGCTGGGTAGCAGACGCATAATGCGTTCGTTGAGACTTCAATTTTCCCCGGGCCTTCAATTTAGCTTAATCGTAACGCATCTTCCGCTCGAGTCGAACATCTGCCACATCGGCGCTTGCCCGTAGGACCCACATGCTGCTTAAACGTCGCGCATAATGCGCCCAGCGGCTGAAAGCCGTGTCTTCTTCGTCCTTGGTTTCCCCCGCGAACAGAAGGATGGGAACACCCTTTATTGGAGGAACTGGCGCACCGCGCACTTTCCTGTTAAGGCGTGCCAAGTATTGGCTTTGTGTAGTGATGTGGGGTTCCAGATATTGTTGTCGAAGTGCCGTGCGCGTGGCAACATCCTCAGGTGAAATGGCCTCAGGCCCAATGGTTATACTAAAAAGGGAATGCCCAGACGCTTTCTTTAGGCGTTCTATCACCGTAGGTGGCTTGAACCTGTACTGTCGGTGGTCCTGCAGTCTCGTAATATTCTTCGTCCGGCGCTTGGCGCCTTCCTCTTGGTCGATGGTCTGCTGTTGCCGCTCGTCGAGTGGGTTGGTAACCGTTACCGTTGATGATACGTCAGGCGGGTCACGTAACGCTGTTAGCGCATCTGCAGCACCACGTTCAGGGAACGGATTCGGTGGATTCGATGACTAGTGTCATCTTCACCCGTGAGGGTTGCTTAAGGGGATCCATCAGGTCCCACAAAGACGGTGTCACTTTCGTAATCAACCGCTTCGTCAGGGTCACCTTTGATAAGGTTCCGTAGAGTCTGTGACTCACTGCCAGGAGGCGTCATGCTGTGTGATGTGAACAAACCGTGAGGTTTTAAGTGTTCGCTAAAGCACTACCTCTATGAGGAAAATTGTCGAGTGACATTCTATGGGAACGTCAGTCTGGTGGGGGAGGGTGTAACGGGGTTACACGACGGTTGTAGCGTCTTTCCGAGAGTTTACGGTTAAACTCCCTTTTGTATTGCATATAATGCATTATTATACTTCTCTTTAGAGAGGTATTAAGTATGAGCGTTAAGATACGGTATTCGGTAATACCGTATCTTATCGATTGAGATTCGATAAATCGATAACGCTGTACTAAGTACATCATACACAGATGTTTAGACGATACGTCGTCCAATAGCAAAGTCTGCATATAATAATTACTATTATAGTAATTAACCTAGTGTAGTGTACTTAGAGTAGGACTATTCATAAAATCTTAAAGCATAAATAAAATCAGTTCTCCTTTTGAGTTTAAGATCGCAAGTCGTTCTGACTTGTTCTCTTGTGCACTTCGTGCGTTGGTTCTCTGAACCTTAAAGCTTCTAGCTTGTTCTTGCACTCTGTGCGTTGGTTCTCTGAACCTTAAGCTTATTGCTTGCTGACTAAAAGTCTCTCCTACTTCCTTAGAACAGGGTGACTTTAAGTCGTTTAACTAGTTTCTTAGAGCTAAGTGGCTTTTAGCCTTAACTCTATTTAGTTCCCTAGAACTAAGAGGCTTCCAGCCGAAAGTCTTCCTCTGACTAAAGCGCTGTGCAGCTCAGCTACAGCGTGGCTCGTCAGCGTGGCTCGTCAGCGCGAGTGCCCTCGTCTGTGAACACGCCGGCAGCCGTCGAAGAACCGTCCGCCCGCGAAAGAGGCGAGGCGACTGATGAAAAGAGATTCGCGGCCCTCGCCGCAGACTAACCGCCTGGCAAAGCTCGAGTCTTCGCAGCGCGTTTGGTACGAAGACAAGAGGATGCTTGGAGCTTCGAGAGCGGCATGTTGCGTCCAAGCTTGGAGCGAACATGCGTGGACGCCCCATGGCCATAGACGCGCTTGGGCCGCTGAAGGAGAAGCTAGAAGCACCTCGCGTGCGCGCTCGTTGCCCTGATAAAGGCGAGTCTAAGAACGCCTCGCTCGCGCCGCCGCGCGGACAGCCGTCAACTCAGTATTGCATGTCGGCACGAGCAATCGAGCCTATGGCCGCACCGCGTCAAGAAGCGCCGCCACCTGCGACGCAAACGGCGGCAGCGATAGGAAACTACGTAATGCACACCCCGAGTCAGCGAAAACTCAACATTCGCACATTCGATGGGACGGAGCTTTACAAAGGGCTCGGGAGCGGGTTCTTTAATTTGGGGACGCACCTTCATGCGCGCCGTGAGCCTCGCTGAAGCGATGTGTGGATTCTCGTGGACGGAGGACGTGAAGGACCCCTGCATCATAACATTACAATAATATTATAATATATGTGCTAGCAAACCCCTTCGACCATGCGTAGATATAATCGAGATGGCAAACTGACATGGCGCGGATTGTATAGGAGTAGTAAGAGACGCAAAATAGAGTGTTGAGCCTGGAGAACATTACGTTGTGCACGAGGCTGTTTCCAAACGGTTCCTATCTTGACGATATTGAAGGCGTGCCATTAACAAGTGACAAAGACAAAAAGTAGATTGCCTACCTGATTGTGTGTTTCTACAAAGCAGCATGTCAGCGTTCATGTACGCGTACCATACATGTACTGGTGGACAATTGGATTTCTAGCGATTAATAGTTTTTGTCTCTCAGGTTCAGCCAAATCAAAGCTGGTAAAGAGGATAATGTGGTATTTCAAGTTATGCTCAAACATAACTCCAGCCAGTTATACCGTTTTCTTTAATTGTGATGGCGACTGAGAAACGGCGCAATATGGTGCTGCATTTTGAATTGAACCGCCCTGTCATCATGTCGGATGCTGCTGGTGGTTGTAGCACGTTCGGTTGCCGTGCCAAAGAACCTGTTCTCAGTACTGCGTTGCCCAATGGATGATAAAGAGGCTTTGGAGCTACGATTGAGCCTGGTATCAGCCTGCAAAAGAGTATGCTCCCGTTCTCGTGTCCGACAATCACTTTGAGACGTGATGCAAAAGCTCCATTTACTTGACGGAAAACAACATGAAGCTACCAAGCAATTGGCTGTAACGTATCCAAGTCTCGACTACAGGAAGCGTGGAGTCAAGGACGGTACTACTTGTTGCCATCATTTTGCAATTTCTATCTTACTTTACGTCCCTCGAAGTGACGTAAGAGGAGCTCAATGTGACGCTTGTGTTTCGTACTCTTGGTGACGATGTTGTAGAGGTTGTACAGGAATTGGATCTCCTTGTAGACGGTCACCACCTGATCGGACTTCCAACAATGGCAGACCATTTCCGTCTCAAGCTACAACCAAGTGCTCGTTGTGTTGCTACGTTCTACCGTGATGGATCTGAAGCTGACGACACGGCTTTAGCTTTGGGCACACTCATCAAGGTACCATTCTCCACCAAGCTCGCGAAGGAAGGGGCCTACTCACCCAACAACTGAGAGTGATTTCCGAATACTAGTCTATCCAGGAGACGCCTGAAGGTATGCTTGAAGGTGCTAGTATACTGGCACTTCGTGACTACTAGGAGTGGTGGAGCGCCCACGCCGAAAATGGCCAGTATGGAAAATTGCTGCTTATTGATGAAGACAAGGCAGTGATGAACGGCGATGTCGCTGTCGTTTTGACTATCACGTCGAGGCAAAGCACTCTCACAGTGTGGACGTGCGTGACATGCGTTCAGGAGCTTCTGTGGGCTTTGAAAAGTTGTGGGAAGTATTTATAGTGGATAGAGCTTTTGCAACCATCACGGAGTTAAAATTAATTCATTCGCTGTTCAAGATGTACACGGTGTAGCTTTGCTATGTCGACAGTGACTTGGGGCAGGAGAAACTTGACAGAGGTTTGTGTCTCAGACCTAGCTGATGATTTGCTTATTGTATTTTGCTTATCGCTTGCGCCAACCTTTTTCTTCGAGACCTCGTTTTCGGTGCCGTTTTTTCCTCTTCGAAGTCAGTTGTTCTTCCTCCTGCTCAACGTTTCTCGTCTTTTTATTCTCCTCATCATCATCTTCTTTTCCGCGACTGAGAAAGAGCCTCACTATCGCTATGCTCTTCTTCGTTGCCATTACCCGTACTATCGGTGGCCGCCGCTGCTGCAGCAGCAGCACCTCGTCGTTTTTTGTTGACGTGAGCTGATACGTGTTGCTGGCAATAAGGGTCGACACCTGCGTGCCGGGGTATGTTTTGCTGGAGATTTGGTCGTTTTACTTTCTTCACGTAAATTCGAGTCTACTTCAGAAGCAGAGGCGTCAAGACTTTCCAAGCCACTCACTTCCTTGCTCGCAGACGCAGCAGATACAGATGCGACGCGCATGCATTTTCGAGAGTTGCGCGAAGAAAGAGAGGGAGCTGCAGAACCCGTACTATCACTGGCAATACCCGTGCGTTTTCGGATTCGCTTTGACGCGCGTTGGTGTAAAACGATTCAGGGTCAAGAAATTCTTCGTTGGCTGTCTTACTTCTCGACGCGTGAGATTTAAAGCAGTGGCCTTCATTGCTTGATCATCGTTCTCGTCTGCGAAACTCTTTTCTACCATGTCGTTATTGCTTTCTCATTGCAAACAGCTTCGTTCTCTTCTTTACGAGCCGCAGCCTCCATTTCCGCTTCAGCGTCTTCGCAAAGTGCAGCAATTCCACACCCTTTCGTCTCGCTTCAGGCTACTCGCGATACTCTCCATCCGTCACCACATGCTGACAAAAAAGATAAATCGGTTCTGCAAACTGCATCCACTCAAAAATCACACCTTCTGCAACTCGCAACTCGATCCTTTATCTTTGTCAAGTTCACATGCTTCTCATCTTTTTCAGCCTACTTCTCTCCTTTTGTCAGTGTAAAGTAACTTCTTATAACTAAACCCTAAACCCTAAACCCTAAACCCTAAACCCCAAAGCTTTAATCTTAAGGGTTTATTTGACTAGCTACTTAGTATATAAAGAAAAAAAGAGATACTCGATGATATCGATATTGGCCCCTCTCACAACTCACTCATGGATCTGTCTAACACTTCATTAATGATTTTCCTGATACGCTCGATGCTCTTTTCATCTTCCACACAAGACAACATCTCAATAGTGGATGCCCATTCCTTCATAGCTCTCGCTTTCTCCACCGACGCATCGAAAGCCCCACCTTTTTTTTAACGTGCTACTTAAAAAAGCTGCTCAATTCCAACTTCTACTGGAGGCTCGGAAGCTTCCAAAGGTGTTGTAGCGCATTTTGGCACGAGATCTTTGTTCGAGGTTCCCAGTGCGAGACCGGGATGGAAATAAACTCGCTTTTTCTGACCGTCGCGTACGGAGTGTAGTGGGGCACCCTCCGACTATACTGATAACAGTATAGTAACTGATAACAGTATAGTAACAGTATATTAACTGATAACAGTATAGTAACAGTATATTAACTGATAACAGTATAGTAACTGATAACAGTATAGTAACTGATAACAGTACAGTCGGAGGGTGCCCCACTACACTCCGTACGCGACGGTCAGAAAAAGCGAATTTATTTCCATCCTGGTCGTCAGGATTATGATAACATTATAGTCTACTATCACTGATGACAGTGAAAGCAGGTGCCTCAATTACCTCACCTATACATGAGCAGAGGAAGTCAATCAACTAATGAAACGCTAAGATGAGAACAAACAAAAACTGTATATATTATAGTTAATTATTTAATAAAACTAATCTGTTATAATCTATGTTAACTATATTAAACTACAACTATGTGTGGCGAAGTGAAGGAGTGAATTTCGCAAAGTGTGATCGCATATTTTCGATTAAGTCCGAAATGGCCAATATTAATGAGTCGCGATCTCGTGGCCAATATTGATGAGTCGCGATCTCGCAGAAGGTTTCAAGTCGATGTCAAATAGGATGGAAAACAGTGAATGGTGTAGTTTGCAGTTCTATGTGGGTTCAAATATGGCCTAGGAACTACGCTATTGCGATCTCCAGTATTTCCGATGGCGATCCGCGTGAACGCGGTCGCTAAGGAGGAAGATGGGTACATCCAAGCATGTGGAAGACGGTCTGGTGTGGATCACGTCGCTATGGAGGACTGGAATGGTGGATATGACATGTCACATAGATGATCTATCTCACATGACCTGAGAAACGGTGAAGAGGACAAGTCGTGATCCGGCGGATCGCGATCCGATGCTAATTATTTAGTATCGCGATCCGATACTAATTATTAATTATCATTTTAGTACCGCGATCCGATATTAATTATTTAGTACCGCGATCAGGTACTAATTATTAGTATCACGATCCGATATTAAATATTTAGTACCGCGATCCGATATTAATTATTTAGTACCGCGATCTGGTACTAATTATTTAGTACCGTGATCTGGTACTAAAATGGTATTATATCCGAGTGAGGTAGCGATCCAGATCGCGGCTATATTGGAGTGGACCACATTAAAAGATCTGATTTCTCCGAAAGGGCGATACGTGGTAACAGATCCTGAGCTACAGATAGTCAAGATCATAGGTTTTGGTATTTGATTGGTTAACATTAACAGAGTTCAATTTGCTTCTAAGTACACGTGTAGACTTCTCTTCCGGGCTGGATTCTTTGGCCTCCCGACGTCTCAAGGAAGTCTACCTACTACGCAAGTCATATCCCTGGATTGTTTGGCCAGGGATTGCAAGAATTCTCAACAAAACAAATCAAGCTGCGATTGGACGCAGAGGACTAAGAAGTCCAGATACAAGATCGCGAGACGGCTCAAGTGGTCAGAAGATCAAATATAGCAAGCGGATCAAGTATCTACATTTTTGGACAAGGCGATCTCAAGGGAGATCAGGGCGACTCAAATAGAGCACCCCAAGAACAACTGCGATCGTGTGAGGAATTCCACTCGATCGCCCCCCCACCTATCCCTAACACAATCAAGTTCAACATCGACTCAAGTCTACCGAGAAGAGAGCAACACGCCCTACCGACGGGTACACAAGGTGAGGAAGGAATTGCTTTACACGGAACGGAGTACCCCCTCCGATAGTCGGTCGTCTGGGCGCCAGTGGAGAGTTGGAAACGCATCAGCAATTTTACGAATCCCACTCCACCACAATGGTGCGCGTGCCCGGATCTTCTGGTGACTCGGGATTTCACCGTGAGTCCCTGACAGAAGATGTAAAGGTCAAAATTGAACCTGGGATTGAAGCGTCAGCGGCAAAGGGATCACCGCAGACGTGTGAAGAAAAAAGATCCCCGGGTCATCAGCGTTTTGGGAGGGGCGCAGATGAAAAGAAAACCA